TGTGGTGATGATGATGCTGATGATGATGATGCTGATTATGATGATGATGATGATGATGATGCTGCTGCTTATGATGATGATGCTGCTGATGATGATGATGGTGATGATGATGCTGCTGATACTGATGATGATCATGATGCTGATGATGATGCCGATGATCATGATGCTGATGATGATGCTGATGATGATGATGATGATGATGATGAAGATGCTGATGCTGACGAGGATGAGGCGGATGAGGAGGAGGATGGACTCTACATGATAATACGATGATGATGCCGGTGCGGATGATGACGATGATGATTCTGATGCTGGTGCTGGTAATGATGATGATGATGCTGATGATGATGATGATGATGATGCTGATGATGATGATGATGATGATGATACGGCTGATGATGCTGATGATGATGATGCTGACGATGTTTATGATGATGATGACGATGATGATGATGATGATGATGATGATGATGATGATGCTGGTGCTGATGAGGATGATGATGATGATGATGATGATGATGATGGTGATGATGCTGATGCTGATGATGATGCTGATGATGATGATGCTGATGATGATGATGCTGATGATGATGATGATGACGTGAAGCTGATGCATTATGATGATGCCTGTGATTATGGTGGCTGAGATGAAGATGATGACGATGATGCTGCTGATGATGATGTGAGATGATGCTGATGATGCTGATGATGATGATGCTGATGATGATGATGATGATGCTGCTCTGAATGATGATGATGTTGAATGGATGATGTACGATGATGCTGACGATGATGATGATGATACTGATGATGCTGATGAGATGACGATGATGATGGTGATGATGATGTAGATGATGCTGATGATGTGAAAGATGATGTGGATTATGATGATGATGATGATGCTGCTGCTGAGCTGATGATGATGATTGATGCTGCTGATGATGATTATGATGATGATGACGATCGATGACGATGACGATGACGATGACGATGACGATGACGATGACGATGAGATATGACGATCATGATGGCTGATTGAATGATGTGATGATGATGATGATGAATGATGATGGATGACTGCTGATGCTGATGATGGAACGATGATGATGTTGATGATTGATGATAGCTGATGATGATGATGATGATGATGATGATGATGATGATGATGATGGTGATTTGATGGTGATGGTGATGGGTGATGATGATGATGATGATGATGATGATGATGATGATGAATGATGATGATGATGATGATGATGATGATGATGATGCTGATGATGATGATGATGATGATGATGATGATGGTGATGATGATGATGATGATGATGATGAGGCTGATGACGATGTTGGTCATGATGGTGACCATGATCAGGATGCGGAGGAGGATGTGGAGGAGGAGGAGGGGGTTGAGAGATTTCTTCATTTTCCTTCCCTCAAGAAGGAGGAGGAGGAGGAGGTTCATTCCCTTCCCGTTCCTTCGAAACGGAGGAGGAATAGGAGGAGGAGTAGGATGAAGTTGCTTTCCTCCCCTTTCCGTCATAAGGGGAGGGAGGAGGAGGTGGAGGCGGAGGAGGAGGAGAAGGAGGAGGAGACGGATGTTCCTTCCTTACTCCACCCCTCAGGGACGAGGAGGAGGAGGAGGTTTCTTCCTTTTCTTTTCCAGCAAGAAGGAAGGGAGGGAGGAGGAGGAGGGCGAGGAGGAGGAACATGAGGATGAGGGAACGGCGGAGGCGGTTCCGTCCGTTCTTTTCCCCTCAGGATGGGGGAGGAGGGTATTCCTTCCTTTCCCCCCAGGAAAGGAAAGGAGGAGGTTCAGTCCCTTCCCTTTCCCCATGAAGGAGGATGGCATTCCCTCCTTGCCCTTCCCCTCATGAATGAAGAGGAGGTTTGTTCCCTTCCCTTCCCCTCAGTAGGGGAGGGGGGGGGGGAACGAAGAGGAGGAGGAAACGGAGGAGGAGGAGGAGGAGGAGGAGGAGGAGGAGGAGATGGAGGTGGAGGAGGCGGAGGAGGGGGAGGAACAGGAGGAGGAGGAGGATGAGACGGAGGAGGAGGGGGATGAGGGGGAGGAGGAGGAGGCGGAGGTCAAGGAGGAGGAGGAAGAGGAGGAGGAGGAGGAGCATGATGCAGATGATGCTGTTGATGATATGATGATGACGAGGCGGGGGAGGAGGAGGAGGAAGCGGTTTCTTCCCTTCCGTTTCCCTTTCCTAAGCAAGAGGGGGAGGCGCATTCTTTTTCTTTTCCCTCAGGAAAGAGGAAGGGGGTCCTTCCGTATCTTTTGCCTCATAAATAATGATGATGATGGTGATGATGTTGATGATGATGATGATGATGATGATGATGATGATGATGACGATGACGGCGATGGTGATGATGATGACGATGATGATGATGATGATGATGATGATGATGATGATGATGATGATGATGATGATGATGACGATGATGATGATGATGATGACGATGATGATGATGATGCTGATGATGATGATGCTGATGATGATGGTGCTGCTGATGATGCTGATGATGATGATGGCGATGGGGACGATGTTGATGCTGATGATGATGGTGCTGTTGGTGCTGATGATGCTGGTGATGGTGATGGCAATGAGGCTGCTGATGCTCATCATGCTGGTTATGATGCTGCTGCTGGTGGTGATGATGGGGAAGATGAGGAGGAGGAGGAACCTTCTCGTCGTGCTCCCTCAGGAATGAGTCGTGAAACGACTTGGTTCCTTCCCTGGTCGTCAGGACGGAGGAGGCAGATGAGCTTCCTTCCCTTCCGACGGAGGTGGAGTCGGAGGAGCTGGAGGAGGAGGAGGAGGTTCCTTTCCATCCTTCCTTTCCCTCAGCAAGGAGGGAGAGGATGCAGTCCTTTCCCTTTTCCCCCAGGAAGCAGGAGGAGGAGGAGAAGGAGGAGGAGGAGGACTGTTGACATCGTGGTGTGTTTACACTGTTTGTGGTTTCCGACGTTAGAACATCAATGTGACGCACAGTGTTTCGGAGGCTGAACACGCTGTGTTTTGCAATGATTTTGGTCTCGGGGAGCAGAGAAACTTGTAAGGCACAGAATTGTGGGTGTCTGACTAGTGAAAGCATTGTGATTTACATTGTTTCTGGTTTCTGATATTGGAAACCATTGTATTGAACAATGATTGGGAGGCTTGACAGCCGAAAACGGTGTTATTTACATCTTTTGGTCTCTGATGTCAAACATTTTAAACACAGTGTTTTGGGACATTTGTCTGCAGAAAGAATGTGCTTCGCACTTCTTTCCGTTTTGGAATTTAGAAACCATTGTAAAACATAGCGTTCCGAATATGGACCTACCGCTCAGAGAGCCAATAACACGTTCCCTCGGGAACAACAACGCAAAACAAGCAGTGGAACATTGGATCGAGGGTTGTTTTTTGGTTCCCCTGAAATAACCGGCCGCCGTTGGATCTTCTTTTTTTGGAGGTATATTTTTTTGGGGGGGGGACCCCTTCGGTTCGGAATCTACGTAGGAGAGAGGACGAGATGGAGAGAGAAAACGAAAGATAGAGAGAGAGAGAGAGAGGGAGAGAAAGAGAGAGAGAGAGAGAGAGAGACGGAAAGAGAGAGAGAGAGAGAGAGAGGCAGAAAGAGAGACCTCGAGAGAGGAAGACGAGGCAGAAAAAGGCAATGAATCAAGAAAACCTCCAAAGGGAAAGACGAGACAGATAAAGAAACATAGAGAGATAACACATAGAAACAGACAGCAGACAGGCGCTTCTAAGCCGCCCCGATATCGCCCCTCCAGAAGTGGCCGCTTTCAATGAGAAGGAGGAGGAGGAGGAGGAGGAGGAGGAGCAGGAGGAGGAGGAGGAGGAGGACGAGGAGGAGAGGAGGGTAGGAGGAGGATGAGGACGGAGGAGGAGAGGAGGAGTAGGAGAGGAGGAGGAGGAGGATTCGGAGGAGGAGGAAGAGGACGAGGACGAGGAGGAGGAGGATGAAGGAGGAGTGAGGAAGAGGAGGAAGGAGGAGGAGGAGGAGGAGGAGGAGGAGGAGGAGGAAGAGGAATCGGAGATGACGAGGAGGACTAGGAGGGGGAGGAGGAGGAGAGGAGGAGGAGGAGGGGAGGAGGTGGAGGAGGCCGATAAGGAGGAAGGGAAGAGGAGTTAGAGGAGCAAGGCGGGGCGCTGCTGATTCCAAAACTGGGAAAACGAGACCCCAAAAAAAAAAAAAAAAAAAAAAAAGAAAAAAAAAAAAAAAAAAAAAAAAAGAAAAAAAAAAAAAAAAAAAAAAAAAAAAAAAAAAAAAAGAAAAAAAAAAAAAAAAAAAAATAAAAAAAAAAAAAAAAAAAAAAAAAAAAAAAAAAAAAAAAAAAAAAAAAAAAAAAAAAAAAAAAAAAAAAAAAAAAAAAAAAAAAAAAAAAACAAAAAAAAAAAAAAAAAAAAAAAAAAAAAAAAAAAAAAAAAAAAAGAAAAAAATAAAAAAAAAAAAAAAAAAAAAAAAAAAAAAAAAAAAAAAAAAAAAAAAAAAAAAAAAAAAAAAAAAAAAAAAAAAAAAAAAAAAAAAAAAAAAAAAAAAAAAAAAAAAAAAAAAAAAAAAAAAAAAAAAAAAAAAAAAAACCCTACAGGATGGTGGTGAAAAGTCAAGGCGGAGGTTTTCCTCGTTGTTCGGCTTACAGGGGCCGTCATCTGGCAGGGTCCGTCAAAAAAAGGCTCGGAAGCGAAAGCCGGCCCTGGGGAAAGGGTCGGGACTTGTGGGGGCCGCGCAGTGAGCAAAAACCGAGACATCGCATGTCTGGGCCGTCCTCTCCCTCGCCCTCCCCCCCGAGGGAGGGCGGTGGAGGGAGGAGGCCCCTCTTGCCATCGTGGTCCTGCCTCTGCCCTTGCCGTCCTCCCTCTGCCCTCGTCGTTTTTTGCTGTTGTTGCCCCTTGCCCTCGTCGTCCTCGCTCGCCCTCCTCGTCGCCCGCCAATCTCGACCTCGTGCGGCGGGCAGGGGTGCGGCGGGTCGTCCCCGCGTCGCCGCGCAGGCCCAGGCCGACGGCCAGCCGGCCCCCACCCCCGACGGGGCGGAGGCCGTCCCCGTGCGCGGCGACCTCGCCGAGCTGCCCTCGCCGGTGCCTTCGCCTGCGCCGACGCCGCGGCCAGCCCGTGCGGGCGCCGCCGGCGAGGCAAGGGCGGCCTCGCCGGGGCTGCCCTCGCCGAGGCAGGCGCGGAGGAGCCGCTTCTGGGCCCCGCCGCCGCGCTGCTGTGCCGGCGGCGGCGGCGGCGGCGGCGACGACGACGACGATGACGACTCTCGGCGCCCCTGTCGACTCGGCTCCGTGAAGCATGAGAATCCTACGAAGGTGCTGCCACGTTGCGCCCCCGTCGTTGCCCTCCAGCGCCTGCGCCCCGTCGCCAGGTGCCTCGCCCTCGGCCGCCAGCCTCGCCGCAGCCGCTGCGTCTGCGTCGCGGGGCCCCGGTCACGGGCGTGATCGCGGATGATTACTTCTCCTGGCGAAGGACCTAACCATACGTATGCAGTTGTGAATACCGCAGTGGTGCGTATCCTCTTCGGTGGGGCTGCCCATGGACGCATCTGATCACAGCCACTGTCGCCTTTGGTGGAGCTCCGTATGGGGCCACGAAGCGCCGTACTGGGTGGCGCGAGACGCACGCGGTCACAGCTCCCTATGGGGTCACACGAAGCGCCGCACTGGGTGGCGCGGGGCGCATGTGGTCACAGCCACTGGGGCCTTCGGTGGAGCTCCCTATGGGGCCACGAAGCGCCGCACTGGGTGGCGCTGGACGCATGTGGTCACAGCCAGTGGAGCCTTCGGTGGAGCTCCCTATGGGGCCACGAAGCGCCGCACTGGGTGGCGCGGGACGCATGTGGTCACAGCCACTGGGGCCTTCGGGGGCGCTCCTTATTGGGCCACGGGGCGCCGTATCGGGAGGCTCGGAGCGCATGTGGTCACAGCTACCTTCAGTGGAGTTCCCTTTTGGGGCCACGAAGCGCCGCACTGGGTGGCGCTAGACGCATGTGTGCACAGCCACTGGGGCCTTCGGTGGTGCCTCTACGGGGCCACGACGCGCCGTACTGGGTGGCGCTGGACGCATGTGGTCACGGCCACTGAGGCCTTTGGTGGAGCTCTCTATGGGGCCACGGGGCGCCGTATTGGATGGCGCGGGGCGCATGTGGTCACAGCCAGTGGGGCACTCTGTGGAGTTCGCTTTTGGGGCCACGAAGTGTTGCACTGGGTGGCGCGGGACGCATGTGGTCACAGTCGCTGGGGCCTTCGGTGAAGTTTCTTTATGGGACCACGACGCGCCGCACTGGGTGGCGCGGGACGCATGTGGTCACAGCCACTGGGGCCTTCGGTGGAGCTCCCTGTGGGGCCACGAAGCGCCGCACTGGGTGGCGAGCGACGCATGTGGTCTCAGCCACTGGGGCCTTCGGTGGATCCCCCTATGGGGCCACGAAGCGCCGCACTGGGTTGCGCGGGACGCATGTGGTCACAGCCACTGGGACCTTCGGTGGAGCTCCCTACGGGGCTACATGTGGTCACAGCCACTGGTGCCTTCGGTGGAGCCCCTTTATGGGTCCACGAAGCGCCGCACTGGGTGCCGCGGGGCGCATGTGGTCACAGCCACTGGGGCATTCGGTGGAGCTCCCTATGGGGCCACGAAGCGCCGGACTGGGTACCGCGGAACGCATGTGGTCACAGCCACTGCAGCCTGCGTTGGAGCTCCCTATGGGGCCACGACGCGCCGTACTTTGTGGCGCGGGACGAAAGTGGTCACTGCCACTGGTGCCTTCGGTGGAGCTCCCTACGTATGGGGCCACGGAGCCCCGTACTGGGTGGCGCGGGGCGCATGTGGTTACAGCCAGTGGAGCCTTCGGTGGAGCTCCTACGGGGCCACGAAGCGGCGTACTGGGTGGCGTGGGACGCATGTGGTCATAGCCACTGAGGCTTTCGGTGGAGCTCCCTGTGGGCCACGAGTCGCCGCACGGGGTGGCGCTGGACGCATGTGGTCTCAGCCACTGGGGCTTTCGATGTTCTTTTGGGGCCACGAAGCGCCGCACTGGGTGGCGCGGGGCGCATGTGGTCACAGCCACTGGGGCCTTCGGTGGTGCTCCTACGGGGCCACGACGCGCCGTACTGGGTGGCGCTGGACGCATGTGGTCACGGCCACTGGGGCCTTCGGTGGAGCTCCCTATGGGGCCACGAAGCGCCGCACTGGGTGGCGCGGGGCGCATGTGGTCACAGCCACTGGGGCCTTCTGTGGAGCTCCCTATGGGGCCACGGGGCGCCGTACTTGGAGGCGCGGGGCGCATTTTGTCGCAGCCACTGGGGCCTTCGGTGGAGCCCCCTTGTGGGCCTACGCGGCGCCGTACTGGGTGGCGCTGGACGTAGGTTGTCACAGCCAGTGGAGCTTTCGGTGGAGCTCCTGTTGGGGCCTCGAAGCGCCTTACTTAGTGGCGCGGTGCGCATGTGGTCACGGCCACTGCGGCCTGCGTTGAAGCTCCCTATGGGGCCACGAAGCGCCGTATCGGGTGGCGCGGGGTGGTCACAGCCACTGGGGCCTTCTGTGGAGTTCCCTTATGGGGCCACGAAGCGCCGGACTGGGTACCGCGGAACGCATGTGGTCACAGCCAGTGGGGCATTCTGTGGAGCTTCTTTATGGGGCCACGGGGCGATGCACTGGGTGGCGCGGAACGCATTTGGTCACAGCCATTGGGGCCTTCGGTGGATTTTTCTATGGGGCCACGACGCGCCGTACTGGGTGGCGCGGGACGCATGTGGTCACATCCACTGGGGCATTCTGTGGAGTTTCTTTATGGGGCCACGAAGCGCTGCACTGGGTGGCGCGGAGCGCATGTGGTCACAGCCACTGGGGCCTTCGGTGGATTTCTCTTTGGGGCCACGACGCGCCGTACTGGGTGGCGCGGGACACATGTGGACACAGCCACTGGGGCTTCTTCTGGTGGAGCTTCGTATGGAGCCACGAAGTGTTGTACTGGGTTCGCTGAATTGGTGGACATGCGGAGGGCAGGGGCAAGTGTTGAAGGAAGGAGGAGGAAGAGGAGGAACAGAAGTAGGAGGAACGGGGGGCGCCGTCCTTACAAAACGAGGACCCAACACCACAGGATGGGAGGGGGGAAGGGAGGAGGGAGGGGTGCCCACGTCTCCGGCCATGTTGTTTTTTTTCCCATCTCCAAAGGATGGGATTTTTGTTATTTTTCGGACCGTGCCGACTCCTCACAAACCTCCCTCCCTCCTCCTCTTCCTTCTCATGCTATGCTATGTTATGCTATGTGATGGCATGCGATGGTATGGCATGCTGGATGATGTTATTGTATGTTAGGATGTGCTATTCTATGTTATGATCATGCCATGCAATGCGCAAAACAATTTGTATCATGCTACGTTGTGTTATGTTATGTTAACATGTTCTGTTATGCTAGTCCCCACATCCAAAAGACGGGGTTCTTGTTGTTACCCTCCTCCAATTCCTTCCCGTGTTGTACTAGTTTATGCTATGCCATGTTATGATATGTCATATTGTGGCATGGTATGTCATGTTATGATATGCTGTGCTATTGTATGGTAACGGTTATGATGGTGACGCTGATGATGATGGCGATGATGATGATGACGATGCTGATGATGCTGAGGATTATTATGATGATGCTGCTGATGCTGGTGATGATGGTGGTGGTAATGATGCTGATGATGATGCTTATGATGCTGATGATGCTGATGCTGATTCTGATGATGATGCTGCTGATGCTGCTGATGCTGATGCTGACGCTGACGATGATGATGATGATGATGATGATGATGATGATGATGATGATGGTGGTGATGATGATGATGATGATGATGATGATGATGGTGATTGTGATGATGGTTATGATGATGATAATATGCTGCTTCTGCTGATGATGATGATGATGCTGACGACGACGACGACGACGACGACGACGACGACGATGATGATGATGATGATGATGATGATGATGATGATGATGATGATGATGCCGGTGATGATGCTGAGGGTGATGCTGCTGCTGATGCTGCTGCTGCTGCTGCTGCTGATGATGATGATGATGATGATGATGATGATGTCGGTGATGATGCTGAGGGTGATGCTGCTGCTGATGATGCTGCTGATGATGATGCTGCTGCTGATGATAATGATGATGATGCTGATGCTGCTGCTGCTGATGATGATGATGATGATGATGATGATGTTTATGATGATGTTTATGATGATGATGATGATGATGATGATGATGATGATGATGATGATGATGATGATGATGATGATGATGATGATGATGATGATGATGATGATGATGATGATGATGATGATGATGATGATGATGATGATGATGATGATGATGGCGGAGCAAATTCTAAGGATGTCTCGAGCGAGGCGCGGGTTTCAGCACCTTCAATGGAGAGCCGCCAGGGGGGTATCTCACTCCTCCGCTCGCGCCACAATGGCGGGGATGTCTCGAGCGGGGTGCCTGATTCGGTGCCCAACATCGTCCGCTTTCGGAGCAGATTTGGAGGATGTCTCGAGCGATGCGCTGGCCGCCAGGGGGTATTGCACTCCTCCGTTCGCGCCCCGATTGCGAGGATGTCCTGAGCGGTTTGCCTATCTTGCTGGCCAGACTCGTGGGCACGGATCCTCCTCAGGAGACGCTTAGGATGTCACAGGAGGCTGCGGCAGGCTCCAGGAGGCCCCAGGAGGTCCCAGGAGGCATCAGGAGGCCACAGGAGGCCACAGGAGGCCCCAGGAGGCCCCAGGAGGCCCTATGAGGCCCCATGAGGCCCCAAGAGGCTCCAGGAGGCCCCAGGAAACACCAGGACGCTCCAGGAGGCTCCAGGAGGCTACAGGAGGCAGCAAGAAGCGCCAGGAGGCCCCAGGAGGCCCCAAGAGGTTCTAGGAGGCCCCAGGAAGCACCTGGAGGCAGGAGGCCCCAGGAGGCCACAGGAGTGGCTCCAATCCCCGGTGTTTTACATGTGTTTCTACAGATTGGGCCTTCCCTGGAGTACGATTTTTTCCCAATCAGAGCTTCCCTCTGTAGGGGTCCTAGCGGATTCATATGGTTAGGTTAGGTTTGCCGCCGATTTTCGCCGCACGCCCGGGTGCCCGGGTTCCCGGGGGTGCCCGGGTGCCCAGGTGCCCGGGTGCCCGGGTGCCCGTGTGCCCGTGTGCCCGGGTG